CATACATAAAAAATATCACCAAGAACTGTGGAGGGTTTGATTGTGTCTTTGATAGTTATTACAAACTTTCACCAAAACAACCAGAGAGATCACAAAGACAGATTGGTAATATCATCATTGATATCAGTCATATCTCAAAAGATGCTGAACTGCCTGTTCAAATGAATAGTTTTTGGGGGTCATCAAGAAACAAACTTCTTTTTCAAGAGTTCACACCCCAGTACAATGATAAAGTCCTTGATTCACACCCCATTCACTACTAGGTATAAATTCAGTGCTTTTTCTGGCGACGAAGAGGATGGGATATCATTAAATTGTTCCTCGGTACAAAATGGTAGACATGAAAATATGTTTTCAGTTGAGGAAACTGATTTAAGAATGATGATTCACGCTAAATGTGCATCAATGCGAGGGTTTACCAAAATTGCTCTAGTTAGTTCTGATACAGATATTATAGTTTTGGCATTATTTCATTGGGAAAGTTTTGCTCGTCTCGGTTTAGAAGAATTGTGGGTGTGCACTGGAGTTGGAAATACATGTACCACATGTGTTCCTTGTTGCCAGCAATACATGCGTTATCGGGTACAGACTACACTAGTAAGTTTGGTACTAAGAAAGGAGCTCTCAACATGGCATCTGATATCTATTGTCGAACTTTGGAGTATCTAGTGACTGAAGAAGTACAGAAATGCCTTCAACCTGCAGAAGAATACTTGGTACTAAGAAAGGAGCTCTCAACATGGCATCTGATATCTATTGTCGAACTTTGGAGTATCTAGTGACTGAAGAAGTTCAGAAATGCCTTCAACCTGCAGAAGAATACTTGGTTCAACTTCTACGAAAAAGATCTGCATGCAAATCTTTAGATGAACTACGACTGTGGTGGTATCATCAGGGTAAAAACATAGATGTCGACGATTTTCCGCCTACAAGCAACAGTAGCAAAGGACATTTATTAAGATCATATTTTTATACTTACCACCTACATTATTGTCTTGATGATGTAATTGTTCATTTAGATCCATGTCAATTTGGCTTTGAAATATCTGAAAATGGGTTGGTTCCACAATCTAATGTACAAAAGTATCCTAATGACTTTATTGGTGCTTGCTTCTGTGTAAAATGTGCCAAATCGTCTGGTATTTGCAGAGACAATGAGTTACCTTGCTGTTCATTTTGTAAATGTATGAGTGTCAAAGAATCTGCTGGAACTTGTAAAAATCCTTTTTGAGTGAATCAAAGAACTTCTTATTGTTATAACATTCTAATTAATTTGGAAGTGTTAATTCTTTATATTTTAGGGCTTTTTTTTTATGTTTTCGCTTAAAAATTAGGTAGACAACTTGCGTGTTTTCGTGAAAAATTAATAAGAGTTTAATAATAAATATATTTTTCTCTTTAGTAAACATAAACAGCTTCATTCTGACAGAAAACTAGAGTAGGTAGGATAATATGGAGATAACGTCGGCAGCCATCTTTGATGACGTCATAGCGGGATAACCTACCACGCGGTGAGTGTCCACTGCCCATCCAAGTCAAAAATACTTACTTAGTCACCTACTAAACATTTCTACAAAAAAATTCTCCCTACTCAAACTTTCCTACAGAACCATAGTCAGATTCCGGATTACTGCTTTCTTGGAAAGGCGAGGAACCAAAAAAAAAGTGTATACTGACATCGATCAATTTTGGGTCATAAAAGTGAAATAACATTCTTATTTCTTAATCGATTTTGAACTTTTTTTTGAGTTTCTTAAATGGGAGGGGGTGGGGGTGGAAAACTAGTAAATATTCAATTTTTTTAGTAAGATTCAAAAATTTAAAAAAGCTTTTGCATTGCTACTGTCAAAAATGCTGTTTCTTCGGTTCGGGTTGGTTTCGGTCCATTTTCTTAATTCTCAATTTATCGCATGATTACGGTCACGACAATTCGGTTTTTAATTTTTTATGAATAGAATATTTTCTAAAGTGTTATAAAATCATAAAATTATGTTGGATTGGGATATTCATACGTAAAGTTAAGAAATGGAACATATTTGAATTTTTTAAAATTCTAGAAAAAAATCGTTCCACTCACCCGATACAGGTTCAATTGTCATATTCCACAGGCCTAACATTCTCCCAAACATCTCTAGCCAAGTTACACCATCCGCCAATAAAAATAAAGGTAGGGTCAGACGTAATTCGATATCTACTTTTTCCACTTAAAATCATACCCAGTTTTTGGAACAAATATTAAGCCAAACAGAGTTAACTGCCCTTGAGCTTGGTACACGCTAGATAACAAACCTTAATCTATCAACCCTCCGTGTTTCGAGATAAGAGATGAGGCCATTGCCTTTAATGTAGCACATGCGGGAGCAATTCGCACCCGGCATTTGTAAACAAAATTGACAATATTTTTAATCAAAACAACGATTGGTTATTGTTATTTATAATATTTCTGCCACACCCAACTACAATTAAGCATATAATCCTACCTGAAATGGGTACAAATCCCCTCTTTTTAAATCAAAGCGACAGTAGATTGCTTTTTCCAACATTGCGGTCTGTAGCCGTGCCAAATGAAATGTGTGGTAACCTGATATCTCGGAAACCGCTTACCGGAAGTGGTCGAAATTTTGGCTACTCTGAGATTTTATTAATGTTATCATATTCTGTAAGTTTCGTGTATATCAGTTCATAATTGCGGTCCGTAGCCGTGCCACATGAAATGTGTGGTAACCTGATATCTCCAAAACCGCTAACCGGATGTGGTCAAAATTTTACCTACTCTGAGATATTATGCCTACTCTGAGATATTATTAATGTTATTATAATCTGCAAGTTTCATTGATATCGGTTGATAATTGTGGTCTGTAACCTTGCCACATGAAATGTGTGGTAACCTGATATCTCCGAAACCACTAACCGGAAGTGGTTGAAACTTTGCCTACTCTGAGATATTATTAATGTTATCATATTTAGGATGACCCGTGCACTTTACAGAAAGTTGGTCTCGACACGGCTAAATGTGCACGCTTCAGTTGCGTGTCTCGAACTGATTTCTGACTACCCCGCACTCGCTTTGAGTCGATAAATAGCCATGGCACGTGCAATTCTCTACAAATATATCAACTATTACAGCCGTAAAAAATCTATTGTTGACGATTTTGAATAGCAGTAAAATTTAGCTTCTTGGTTATTACAGCAGCTTTAGTAATTACGTTTGTTTTATTTTTTAAATTGCTTTATCATTAACTGTACCGTTAAGAGCGGCATCTTTTGGTTTAGTACAAATAATATCTCTGAATCACTTTCTTTAGCAGGAACATGATACTAGCAGTAGTTTCATTTTACTTTTACAAGTTTCTTAAAACAATTGTTGAGTTGTCTAAAGTGCTTATTTCTAAATTGAATTTCTTGTTCTAGCTTTCTGTTATGTTTCGTAAAAAAGTAGTCTTGATTATCCCGACCTGTCAATCAGACGTAGAATGGTCGATAGACTGGTTAAGCGAGACTAATTTCAAAACAAGGGCACGTAACCTATCTTTTACTCAAAAGTGTCTGGATGTTATGGACGCAACTTGGAACCAGTTTTCAGTCTATTATTTATAGATGATTAATGGTCATAGCTTATTAAGTACAACATGATCGTTTATTTAGTGACTATAATTGTGTGAAACTGATTTGAGGCTTGGCATATATATAAATATTGTGGCGTAATTGTCGAGATATTTGGAGATATTTTTTTATGGTGGGTCACCCTATCATATTCTGTAAGTTTCATGGATATCTGTTGATAATTGTGGTCTGTAGCCGTGCCACATGAAATGTGTGGTAACCTGATATCTCCGAAACCGCTAACCGGAAGTGGTCAAAATTTTGCCTACTCTGAGATATTATTAATGTTATTATTATCTGCAAGTTTCATTGAAATCAGTTTGTAATTGCGGCCTGTAGCTGTGCCACATGAAATGTGTGGTAACCTGATATCTCCGAAACCACTAACCAGAAGTGGTTGAAACTTTGCCTACTCTGAGATATTATTAATGTTATCATATTCTGTAAGTTTCATAGATATCTGTTGCTAATTGTGGTCTGTAGCCGTGCCACATGAAATGTGTGGTAACCTGATATCTCCGAAACCGCTAACCGGAAGTGGTCGAAATTTTGGCTGCTCTGAGATTTAATTAATGTTATCATATTCTGTAAGTTTCGTGGATATCAGTTCATAATATTGCGGTATGTAGCTGTGCCACATGAAATGTGTGGTAACCTGATATCTCAGAAACTGCTAACCGGAAGTGGTCCAAATTTTGGCTACTCTGAGATATTATTAATGTTATCATATTCTGTAAGTTTCATGGAAATCGGTTGATAATTGTGGTCTGTAGCCGTGCCACATGAAATGTGTGGTAACCTGATATCTCGGAAACTGCTAACCGGAAGTGGTCGAAATTTTGGCTACTCTGAGATATTATTAATGCTATCATATTCTGTAAGTTTCATGGAAATCGGTTGATAATTGTGGTCTGTAGCCGTGCCACATGAAATGTGTGGTAACCTGATATCTCGGAAACCGCTAACCGGATGTGGTCGAAATTTTACCTACTCTGAGATATTATTAATGTTATCGTTATCTGTAAGTTTCATTGAAATCGGTTGATAATTGCGGTACGGAGACTTGCCACATGTGGCAAATAGTCTCCGGATTGTCTTACCACATGTGGCAAATTGCCCCAGCCATAAAGAAATTGAGTTTGCCAATTGGAACTAAAGGCACCCAATCGTAGCTAAAAACAAGCACATCAGTATATCTCAGTGTTCTCGTAGCTAGGTACACGCTACTTTAATAAATACTATACTATTTGAAGTAAGATTTAAGATGACTTTAATAGGTATTGTTAAATATCTTGGTAAAATTTTAACTGCCATCCGCTATTACTAGTATTAGCATTCCGTCGCCCGTTCCGTTTCTCGTTCCGTTCCGCGTTTTAGCAGCACCCCGTTTGTTTTTTTTTTAGCCACATTCTCGTACTACAGACAGTCGTAGCTTATAAATCTCACCGTGTGTCTGTTCTTGTTGAAAATACAATTTTGACCCGGATTTTGACATCTTGATTTAGGCCCAGATCTAATACAACTATAAAAGTTGTGAAGTGAGAAGTTATTGTGCTTATTTGCTGTTATTCGCAACAATATTAACTCTGATTTGAAAATGTTGACAGATAAAAACGGAAACATATTGGTTAACTCCCCTTGGTAAGTTCAAATTCCATCGATTAAATTCATCTGAATTTCGTTACATTAACCGACACACACTGAACCGCAGTGAATATTTGCTTGGCCGCGACAATCACTGATAAGGATGACATTGATGCGGCTTAATGAGCTAGAAATATTAACTTTTTTCCTGCGACAAATTTAATTCTAAAACATTTTTTGTATATATTGGAAAAATAAATAAAGGCATTTGACGTATTTGTAGCCGTAAAAATTATTTCCGATTTAGTGTAAATGGGTATTAAAATGACTAAAATGCAGCATTCTCTCCGAAGCAGTTATGTCTTATGTAAACAATGCACGCGCCATTCAGCCAATGATTCACACCGCGTGCTGTGACAGCACGTGTTAAGGCAGTCATCTATGACAGAGATATTATACGAGACTCGTAATTCTCTGTGAAACAGATTGACACTGAACAGCAGTGAATATTCATTGGGCTGAAATCAGCGGACGTTACGCTAAGCGGACGTTTTATGACCTTGACCCTCATCGTCGAAAGCTGCGGTTAACAAAACACAATATTTCGCCGTTGAAGTGAGCGTACGGAATAAATAACAAATGTCCGCACTACTAATTAATCTATTTAAACCACTGAAGACATACAATAATTGGCACGAAATGAAACAGTCTTTATCCCCCATTTCTGTAGCACCATAGATAATTTCGGAAAGTCACTGGAATACACCGCAAAACAGGTTGAATTAAGAACGTGTTCGTGAGAAAAGCATGCAAAATGTGACAAGGCCCTAAATCATGAATCCGGACCATACCACCACTGTTGGTTCCTTAGGACCCCCAGATGCACATGCGGGCATATTGCGATCCAAATCCCACCAGTACCCACAGAAATTATTTTTCGTTATTTTCTTAAAAATAATGGCTAATTTTAATGCATTTCTTAACTAAAGTCTCACTCACGCAACGGATACTCACCTGAACGAAATTCTTTTTAGGGATTTTGTAGGCCTACTGTCCCTTGAAATTTTCCACAAAATTATTTTCACTTGAATCCTGCCATAGAGCCTGGGTTAGAGTTTCGATACATGAAGTCCATGGCATCAAATAAAATAGGCTATGTTTCGACACGTTTCTCTTCACTGCGGCGGGGGTGGGAGCGAGGGTGAATACATGTGCTTTTAGTACTTTATCTCCACTATATTTATCAACAATAATATTGGATGCAGCTCGCCCCAGTTTTTCGGAGCGAGTGTTGAAAGTAGGCACACTCGGTAGATATTACGACACTTTCGGATACGATGTAAGTTAAGTTATTGTCAACTTTTCTGCCATACATCAAGATGAAATTTCGAATGTAGCTTCCCCACGGTAATACAAAGCCCAGAAGGGCACTTCCGGTATCAGTGACGTCACTTCCGGTATCAGTGACGTCTTTTCCGACATCAGTGACGTCACTTCCGGTTTCTTCGACTTGACACAAATATACCCATGTGACATATCGCTGAAAAGGTCATCACATGTACATTACGATTCTGTCATTACCACACGTTTTTACAGAGACGTCAAGGGAATATGGCCAAAAACATCGCCGCAAACTTGATCTGAGTATATGAGACGATGATAAAAAGAAATATACGAAATGTAAAGATATAATTAATTTGAATAGTATTCCATATATATTATGTACATATCATGCATATACAGTTACTAGCAATATTATAACTCATAATACATATAGGCCTGTATCTCATATCACCATTCGGTTCGAATTTTTTGATTTCACACCGTTTCGCTTTATACAGTGTACTCGTGAAAAAGGACGCTCGATTCAACACACTAAATGAAAATACATAGTATAAAACGTTACAAATCGTGAATGCAAAAAGTGGCACAGCATACTGACTGTTCTCTTTTCACAACATTTTAAAAGAGACTGGATTAGGGCATCGCTGGATACCAGTCAAACAAACAGCCAAGACACCTGACCGGAGGCGGGATATTATAAGAGCCATGATTTCTGAAACATTATCAGAGTGGAAATGAAATTAAGATCAAGATAAATCAATAGAGATCAAGATAATCAATCAAAAAATACCTTCTAAAGCGAGTAAATACCCAAAGTTCCCAGGGTTCCTGTGATTTGCATAGATCCGATGCAGTGAAACTTTTTTCAGATAAATTATGTGTCACTAATATACTTCAGCCGTCAAGGTCGATGTCGACCATGCACCCCGGCCGCAGTCGAGAAAAACGCGTTTTAAAATGGGTCTAATTTCAGTGTTTTGGATACCTAGGTTTTTCAAACTAGTCTCATTTCTACACTCCAACTTGAACTTCGTTGATATTGGGCATATATTGAGGGGAACCCAAGGTGGTTAATACTTCATTATGAACAGTCTCGAAAAATGTGTACCGAAGCCGCAGTTGCCGTCAAAAGTATGGTATTTTTCTCACTGAAAATAGCGTCGTTTTAAACCCAAAAAATCGGGGCGACCAAGCTCCGCAATCAGGCGGAGCAGAGACCTACTTTATTTTCTGTGGGGTCTGGGGGCCCCCGGGGTACCAACCACCATGTTTGATCAAAATCGGTTTCCTGCTGCCTTATCACTTTTTGCAGAATTTGCATGGTCTTCTCACGGACTCGTTCTTAATTACCGGTTAAACCGCAAAACACTTTAATGTCAACTCTGTTTACCAAACGTCCGCTGCTGTTTCATTTTCTTGAGCCACTCAATACTTGGCATTGAATGAAAGAGTGTCTATCATGTGGCACCATAGATTATTCTTGAAAGTCCTCAGCATAATCTGAAATCCGTCCTAGCAAAGCTGTACCCCCCACCCCACCACCCCCCGTCTTGTTTGTCAATTCTGTTCTACCAAACGGCCGCTGCTATTTTATTTTCTTGAGCCACTAAATACATGGCATGGAATTAAAGAGTGTTTACCCCTCTTTCATGTGGCACTATAGATAATTTTTTAAAGCCCTCGATTCAGTCTTAAATCCGTCCCAGGAAAGCTACCCCCCCCACCCGTCTTGCTTGTCAATTCTGTTTTACCAAACGATCGCTGCTATTTTTATTTTCTTGAACCACTCAAAACACGGCATGGAATTATTTCCTAGGACGGATTTCAGATTATGCTGAGGACTTTCAAGAATAATCTATGGTGCCACGTGATTGAGAGATAACCACTCTTTCATTCTATGCCAAGTATTGCGTGGCTCAAAAAAATGAAATAGTAGCGGTAGTTTGGTTAAGCACAGTTTACAAAGAAAGAGTAGCGGGGGGGGGGGGCTTTTGGGACGTATTTCAGACTATAGCGAGGGTTTTAAAGGATAAGCTATGTTGCAACATGAAAGAGGGATAAACACTCTTTAATTCCATGCCATGTATTGAGTGGCTCAAGAAAATAAAATAGCAGCGGCCGTTTGGTAAAACAGAATTGACAAGCAAGACGTGGGGGGGGGGGGGGGGTAGCTTTCCTGGGACGGATTTAAGACTGAACCGAGGGCTTTAAGAAATTATCTATAGTGCCACATGAAAGAGGAATAAACACTCTTTAATTCCATGTCATGTATTTAGTGGCTCAAGGAAATAAAATAGCACCGGCCGTTTGGTATAATAGAATTGACAAACAAGACGGGGCGTGGAAGGGGGGGGGGCTGCTTTCCTAGGACGGATTTCAGATTATGCTGAGGACTTTCAAGAATAATCTATGGTGCCACATGATAGAGGGATAACCACTCTTTCATTCTATGCCAAGTATTGCGTGGCTAAAAAAAAATGAAATATAAGCGGTAGTTTGGTAAAGCACAGTTCACAAAGAAAGAGATGGGGGGGGGGGAGCTTTTGGGACGTATTTCAGACTATGGCGAGGATTTTGAAAAATAAGCTATGTTGCAACATGAAAGAGGGATAAACACTCTTTAATTTCATGCCATGTAATGAGTGGCTCAAGAATATCAATTATCAGCGTCCGTTTGGTAAAACAGAATTGACAAGCAAGACGGGGAGTGGGGGGGGGGGGTAGCTTTCCTGGGACGTATTTCAGACTATGACGAGGATTTTAAAGAATAAGCTATGTTGCAACATGAAAGAGGGATAAACACTCTTTAATTCCATGCCATGTATTGAGTGGCTCAAGAACATGAAACAGCAGACGTTTGGTATGATTATCGACATAAAAAAGGGGGGGTGCAGCTTTCCTGGGACGGATTTAAGACTGAATCGAGGGCTTTCAGAAATAATCTATGGTGCCACATGAAAGAGGGATAAACACTCTTTGATTCCATGTCATGCATTTAGTGGCTCAAGAAAATAAAATAGCAGCGGCCGTTTGGTAAAACAGATTGACAAACAAGACGGGGGGTGGGGGTGGGGTACTGCTTTCCTGGGACGGATTGCAGATTATGTTGAGGACTTTCAAGAATAATCTATGGTGCCACATGATAGAGGGATAAACACTCTTTCATTCAATGCCAAGTATTGAGTGGCTCAAAAAAATGAAACGGCAGCGGACGTTTGGTAAACACAATTGACATTAAAGTGTTTTGCGGTTTAACCGGTAATTAATTCAACCTGTTTTGCGGTGTATTCCAGTGACTTTCCGAAATTATCTATGGTGCTACAAAAATGGGGGATAAAGACTGTTTCATTTCGTGCCAATTATTGTATGTCTTCAGTGGTTTAAATAGATTAGTAGTGCGGACATTTGTTATTTATTCCGTACGCTCACTTCATCGGCTAAATATTGTGTTTTGTTAACCGCAGCTTTCGACGATGAGGGTCAAGGTCATAAAACGTCCGCTCAGCGTAACGCCCGCTGACTTCAGCCCAACGTGAATATTCGCTAGGGGGGCCCCCGACTAATCACCGGAAATCATTTACAATCACCGGAATTCACATATAATCACCGGAATTCACATATAAACATCGGAATTCACTTCGAAAACCCCTCCTCCCACAAAACTAATTTATTTTAAATGTATAATACATTATAATGTAACGAATTACTATTTTGATATTCCCACAGGCCAAATAAAGGCCCTGTGGGTATATTTATTTGAAAGACTACCGAAATTCATTTCAAATATATATGCATCATGGTTCTGATAAGGTAGGGCGCGTCGTATTACCCAATAGGCCGAACTCCAAAATAACACTAAAAAACAATTTGCGTCGAGTTACCCAATAACTCCAAAATAACAACCAATAACTTCAAAAATATTGACTGTGGAAACTGAAAAATAACAATTTAGTATGAGTTTAAGAAGCGTCACTGGTTTTTGTCCGAATCAGAGGTTCACGGGAGATAACCCATGTGTGTGATTTTTGCATTCGGCAAACCTCCGGTACCCTACAGAATCTACCGAGGTTTGCCGAATGTGATTTTTGTTGACAAGAAACTCATGTTAAATTCGTTGTAATGTATTGTAATTAGAGATTGATT